GTCTGGATGAGGACTGTAATATACCGTAATAGAAGTCTAATTCTGATAAGACATAAATTCGGTGATATTAAAAAATCATGGTTATGAATATCATCAATATACACACAGTCATGCATTTTCATTTTGAAAAATGATTTTTCACATAACTCAAATGTGTTCCTGTGAAGTGACTGACTTTAGGAGTCAGGCGAGTCAATGCATGAAGACCAAGAGCTTGATGGTGATGACTAAAGCATATAATTAAACGTTTGAAATCTTTTGCCTGTACTATACCTTTTCATCCAAGGCCTTGTGGTGTTCAAACAAAGATTTCAGTGCCTTGAGAACTTCAACTTCGCTGGATACTCCTGAGGGGGACTGGGCTTGCCGTTTTACCACCGTCATTCTTAGTGATCTTTCATGTCGTGACACAAGGCACTCCAAATGCTCCAGTAACAGCTATTGGGTTTAAGGGAAAACACAATTATCTTATGGATGCAAGTCACCAATAATTATAAATCATTTCTACTTTAAAATATTACGGGCTTATGTAATATCTAATGATAACCTCGGGTTATACTACGGGTACTAAAGAACCACAGACCTGTGTCAGCCGGGGCTCATAAAATACATTAAAGATAAATGGCATTTCAATCATATAACAAGTGACTGAACTTAAAAAGGTAATCTAAATGTTATGCATCCCCTTAGAAAGTTTAATAATTTCAGTATGGATTTAGTAGAAATAGAACACAACAAAATATGTATGATCCAATATGATAATTATTAAAGAACACTGCATGATGCATGATGATTTTTTTCAAAAGTCATTTACATTTGGCTGTTTAAAACTCTGGAATTAAAGGAAATGAGCATAATCATTACTTAAAATCATTGCTTTAAATTACAGTGATGATCACATGATTTTATTCACAATTACTCTTTAGATAACGTTATAAAAAATATATGTGCAACCAACTGGAATACAGTAACTGAAATTCCTGATAATCATTTTGGGAAAAGGATTTAGGAACATAATTTCTAGACTGTCTATGTTGAAACCTATGTCTTCCAGAGTAGTCTCTGGAGCCATGACGCAGGTGAGAGGAAATCCAGAGAAGAGATGCCAGGCTATTCCAGTCTCTACAATCTTACTTTGCCAGAGAAGTTCTGCTTTTAAATGTTTTGTGAATTAAAGCTTCACATTTGTTTTAATTTTAAAGGGGAGTTTTACTGCTAAAACCAAAGATACATGAGAAGAAAAACAGAAACTGCTGGGTTATTTTCAGTCTATTGCAATTTTACTGGTGAAGACGCACATAGAACTGGTAAGTTTTGTAGAAGAGACCTACAGAATAGTAAAAAGCAGAAGTTAAAAAGTGCTGTCTATTAATGCAAAATAAAGCAGAAATTACCCAAACAAAAGAAAAATGCAGATATACAATACTGGGGATGGAAAAAAAATAAAGAAAACGATTTTCTTTTTCTCAGAGCTTTTTTCTAAAGCTTAAACTGCAATGAAAAATTTTGATTTTCACAATACCACTATTAGATTCAGTCTCATGTATTAGTCTCACATTTCTTAGTGCCTAATAAGTTAATTTCTCAACATCCACTGTCACTAATTACAGTTCACAGTGTCAGAAAATTTATCCTGTTATTGGCACAAAGAACACAAATATCTGAGATCCTAAACTTATATAGGTCAATAGATAAGAGTCATATTTAAGAGTCAAAATAATATTAATAGTGTTTCAGTATGAAGATATCAATATTTTCAAAGAGCTTTCCTTTTTTTTAAATCAATCTCTGATATTTATGGTATTTTACTCTGGATACATGTGTACATTAATTAAATTCAAGCTGTTTCACATGAGTTATGAGGATTTGCATGAACTTAACCTTGCCTATTTTTCCAGCATCATCTTGTGTCAATCTTTCCCTTGCAATCTATGATCCGATCACAATGGAATACTTTCAGTTCCTCAATATGCCAAGCCTTTGCCTATGCTGTGCCCTCTACCTGGAGTTCTCTTCCTTTGTCTCCTCATCTGGCCGGCTCTCTCTCATTCTTTGTCTCACCTTAAATATCACCCTCTCAACGAGGCATTTGCTCACTACTCTATGTAAAGTAGGTCTTTCCTTTTCCCCGCCTCCGTAATACTCTATTTCAGTCCCTTGCCTCTTTTCACAATGTATCATGATGTGTAATTTTTAAAAAGTAGTTTTACTAAATTTTATTCTATTCCCTAATTGGAATATAAGCTCCATGAGGCACAGTAGCTGCCTTGATCCTTCTAATCCTCTCTGTATTTGGGTGTTTTCAGTTTCTGACATCCATAGGTATGCAATAAATATTTATTGTATGCATTTAAAAATGAATGAATGAAGTAAATTTTCCTGTGCGTGTTCCTGCCTATGTCAAAGCTAAACCTGTGGCCATGGTTAATTGTCACTATTTACTAAAAGCTGAGGCTAATCAACATCGCTATATACAATGTTTTATCTGGATAACTCACATAAAAAACCAAGCATTATAATACAATGAAAATTGGTTTTCTTAACTGAAAACTAGAGGTAGCTTGGTTTGTAGAATAAATACAATAAATATTTTAGCATCTAATATTGCATGATACAGTATAGGATACAGAAACAATGATATATAATATTCACCCTCTAGAAAAAAAACACAATGAGCATTATAATGAAGCTACGAAGGACGTCTATTATTAATGACTACCTAAATCTATTGATAACACACTTTACATTTGGCAAGTTTCTCACATTGTGAATTTCACCTTTCCAACATAGAGTACAAAAAACTACAGTTCTCAGACTTCTATGATAATTTTTTCTACTAATTACACACTCATGCAAGAAGTGAGGAGACAAGTTGGATTAAGGCATCCATTTTACTCAATGGGAATGGCAAAAGAATCATGATTTTCTGCTGAAAAGGAGAATCAGTCCCATTACCAGCTTTGCAGTGAGCTTCGGGAAGTTGGTCCAGAAAGGTTGGGTTGCAGACTGTTTTTGCTAAGAATGTTTTAATATCCATTGAAAATAACTGCCTGCTTAAACTAACGATAGTGAATTCTGTTGTGTGCATCTAAGAATGTGCTGATACTGAAGTCACCAGGTTCTACCTACAGCCACCTTTCCAGTGATAGTCATCTGCAATAGCCAGGGTCACTTCCCATTAATCTTTAAATATGTTAACTCCCCAATCATTGTCACTTTTTCCAACACAACTCCAGTCATAATTCTCGGTGACCTTTATTAATCATTTAGATGATTCCTCCAACATATTGGCCTCTCAACTGTTAGACCTCACATACTCGAGTGGTCTCAATTTCCACACTATCTCAGTAACTGATACAAAGAATCGCTGTAGAATTTGCTATTACTAACAAATACAACTGTTCCATAGTTTCAGTTTCTATCATCTAACTCAAAGATTGCTACATTTTAGCTCACCTGTTGAAGTGTTCAAACTCTAAGAATACTTCGATTTATAATCCCTTTATCATAGGAATTTGTTACTGCCCCTCCCACATTCATACCTTCACCATCCTTACATGTCCCAGAGGGATCTAAATTCTATGAACTCATCTCCTATTCTT